TATTTTTTGCTGCATAATACATGTAAAAGCGAATCGTTGCAAGAACTCAAGCGTCTACCCTAAGTCCCGCCCAATCGACACCTTGGTCTGCTGTCTAGCACAAGTGCCTCCTGATTGGCCACACACAGTAATGGCGCACAAAGAGAGAGACAGAGAGAGAGAGAGAGAGAGGGAGAGGGAGAGGGAGAGACAGAGAGAGACAGAGAGACAGAGAGCAAGCGAGGGAGAGAGAGAGAGAGAGAGAGAGAGAGAGAGAGAGAGAGAGAGAGAGAGAGAGAGAGAGAGAGAGAGATTTTAATTGATTGCCTCATCCGCTCCGGAATCTGAGGTCCTGTACCCGACATTTTCAAAACGTGAGAATTTATAGAGACTGATTAACCAAAGTTATAGTGATATTTTTACTATTTTGATAAATCGGTGTCTTAAAATTACACAGCTTTATCTGACGTTCTTTGGCCGTTATGAGTTTCTAAGAACATGATATTAGAAACAACAGGTTCGACTGTAGGCATATACGTAAGGTTATTTTAGAATTCTAGATTTTAGCGCTCTGGATTAACCTCCATCTCTGCAAGGATATAATATGGCTAGGATCGATGTGGGGCTTCTAAAACAGCCCTAGCGCAAGAGAGCTCTGTGAAGGACCACAACATGCGTTATTCCCAAAGTAAGTTTAGCAAGATAAGTCTACTTACTGAGCTAAAAGTACACCCCACAACAAAGAAAAAGTCTCATGTAAAACGCTGCTATCAAAGAAAAAAAAGAGTAGTTTATTGGTAAATATTTGTTGCATTATTATAACATAGTCAACATTTAATAACAGAAGCTGTTAGTCAGGCTGGACTCTCCTCTTGCAGTTTGTCCATAATGCAGGGCTGCCAAGTACACATTATAATACAAATCAGGCACTTTGGTTCTGGGGGGTATAACTTTTAAATCTCCAAGCTATGGTCAAAAGACTGTACCTCTATTTTTTGGAGAGGGGAAGGCATGGGGAGGAGGGGAGAAATGCAAATTCCACCAGCAAAAAAGGCCACAGTAAGGCAAAAGCACCCCAGTTGTTGGTGGGGTTTTTTTTAACAGAAGGCCTACGCATTACTTTCAAAGGCACACAATAACTGGCCAGCAATTGAATGAACACAAGAAGACAGGTTGTCTTCAGAGATTTGTGAGGCATCTTGATGAAATTAGGCACTCATCAAAATAATCTAATTGAAGAAATCAACATTTTTCTGCTCTTTCAGCAATTCTTATCAGTTAGTTTTTGTTTTGGGCTCAACCCCTTTTATGGTCACCAAATGAAAACACACACTACTGCATGGACTTCACAGAAAAAGGTTGATCAAAGGCACAAAATTTGTGGTTTCTACGGTTAAGGAAGTTACCAGATTTTGGCGTTCATTTTCTCACTTTTACCTACGACATCAAGGCCCCCTCGCTCCACCTTCTTATTTTGCAGGTACCCTGCAGTCTTCTATTAAAGATAGATGGGTATTTTCTTCATCAAAAGCAAGGCAAATGAACAGGCTTTAAGATTAAACTAATAATGCCATTTGACGAACAATTGATGAGCCCTTAATTTCACAACATCAGGATGTATTTGGAACCTTTGGCAGCCCTGACAAAGGGCTCACTTTGTTCTGGTATCAGTGAAAAACTGGTTAGATATGATTCAAGTTATATATACATATACATCTATATTTCATTATAATATATTGCAGTTTTTATATTGATGTTACAGAACGGTAGTAAACCACACACATTCATAATATACATTGAAAATGCACACTTTTCAAGACAATACAATACAATAATTATATATAGAAAACTACAAATTATAAAAGCGTATAACCAACACAATAATAATCATAGAAACATTTTTTAAAGAAATTTGCAAGAAAAACTTGCATTGGTAATAATTGATAGGATAGAAATTTCACGTCCTAGTTTACAACAGACACACTGACCTGAACCACTATTCAGGTCTCGATGCTTCTTCTTCTTCTTCTTCTTCTTCTTCTTCTTCTTCTTCTTCTTCTTCTTCTTTTTCTTCAAGCCATTCTACAACTTTTTCTTCATGTATGGTTCTTCAAATACTTCTGTCCATTTGTTCAGTAACCATGCTTTTACTGAATGAAACAACACTTTGCACGACTTGAATGAAAGAAAAAAAAGAAAAAAAAAGAAAATAAACATTCATTCAGAGACAAGAGCCTCAGAGGAGAGGAAAACATGTCATGTATCACTATCAAGCAGCACACACCCTGCCCAACCTCTGGAGTGTGTAATTCAGCATGACACTGATGACACAGACAATGAAATCAATGAGAACTGTCCATAAGTATACACTGCACAATCTGGTTGCTAACCCAACCTCCACTATGAACAAATTAAATAAATAACATGAAACACATAGAAGTATAAAGAGTAGTCTCCGCCTAAACACTCGGTACATAAAGGTACACCCTGCTCAAACTCATGCTTTCGTCAAGACTTCTTTTTTACAATCTATAATATGATTTAGACATGTGGTCTATTTCTCTAAACACACACTTTGATCAGAGAAATACACAGACAGGTAAAGCTTGACCAACTGGTTCATTATAATCGTTATAACAGTTGCATTTATAGACAGCATATTCACACTGTACTGCATGCTGTAGCTTTATAACTAGGCTACTAGATTATTAGACGATGGGTGACAATCTGAGGAGAGCAGAGGACAAAAATAGATGGCGAGAGCTGGTGTTCCAATGCAGTGGTGCCCCAACGGTTGCCCCAACCACGGGATAGAAGAAGAAGACTAGATTATCCCAGAAAAACTCTGGAAGGCAAAGAAATATTCTCGGCTTCCCAGGAAGCATACAGTGCAAACTAACTGACAATTTTTACAAGAACATGGACAGTTTGAATCATATAATGCAGACAAGTCTAGATAACAGAATGTTTTGTGAGACTCTTTGTGTAGCTCAATGAAATTGATAGTCAACTTTTTAACACCCTATTGTCCAAAGACACAAGTAATACATTTGGGTAACTGTAATGAATTTTGATTTTGATTAGTCACTCAAAATGTCTTCGATGGAAGGTCTCTCATTGGACACTGACTGTAATATTTAAGCCTATGATGTGCAGCATGCATGAATGCTGTAGAATACTAAATACGCCAAAGAGTGTAACAATTGAATCAAGTGATTTGCAGCACTCGAAGAACTTATGGCATAATCGTTCAACAAATCACTAGCCATATGTTACTCAAAATGTCTGATTTCATCCCGGCTTTGGCAGAGTTGCAATAGATGACAAGTATTCACAGTGGTCATTTGGCTATTTGCTCTTTGCTTTCACCAACAATTTGCTATGATTGAGTATATCAGTACAGTTGGACAGTTTTTCTGATTGTTTCCAGCTCTCAGTTTAACTCATTTGCAGACATAACCGTGATCGGGCACTTTTGTATTACAAAACAGTCCTGTATCATCTGTGTTATACACATCATCTGGTTAATACGACTCAAGAAGCTGTGTAAGAGTTTGTTATGAAAAGGTAAAAATGGGACACCCCCCCCCCCCCC